ATTTGAGATTTAGAATTTTCGGAACATTTGTTGTAAAATTTCTTGCTTGCCTGCCTCTCCTAGGATTTTCGAACATCCAAAAAATGGTATATTTGCCTATTTTTAACGGATGTTTACCCTAAAAAGGTCACCTAGAATTTTCGGAGGCCTTTTTTCTGGCTGAAATTTTCGAAAAGGTAAGTTTTGATTCCTATAATTTTCGGATCACTAGACTTTCAGCTAGGAAATCCGAACAGATGAAAAATTTTTAGGGGATAAAAATATGCCTATATCTACCGTTTAAATACTAAAATACGTTTGACAATGCTATGTTTAAGTGGTTTTGAACTATATTCTCGTTGGGTGCCCCTATAGTTTGTCTAGGCGAATAATTCGTCTCGTGCCCATCTTTATACCAGATACACATAACCCAGACGAACTACAGAATGTTTGCCCAAGTTCGTCCAGAGGGATAATGCGTCCTTAGTATAAAAACTTCAACGAGAAATATAAGCCTGTATGCAAGGAGTTGTCTGTTCATTTTATATTAGATTTATATGAGAGTTACTCTAGTATACTGATTGTGACCAATCTCAAATGTATTGAAATCCAATCCGATTAATTTTTTTATAATAGTAGTCCTGCGCTGCGCACTATTTTCCCTGCAGAGGAAATGCAGGGCTACGTTGTAATTAGAAGCAACAACCTGAACGCTATTTCTGGTTTTCATCGGCATCAGAAACAAACCAGATTTTATGCCCAAAAAAGCTGGCGAGCAGATTCTAACTTACGTATTAAAAAAAATCTTGCACTTATAGAAACTGAAGAAACTGCGCCAACACCGACACTTGTGGTTAAAGCGCAAAAAATACTCTCTTCTTTATTTTCTTTGGACGCTTGAATGGCGGTTTCGTGGTATAAATCCTGTCCCCGTAATCTCTAGTCACATTGATGCAAGCCCGGTTGCAAACCACCAGAGACGACGGAAATCAAAGTTGCTATGTGCCAAGTATTCGCGACAGAAAAAAAAAAAGAAAAATTGACTAATTCGCGTAAACAAAATCCACTTTAATCCTTGTTAAGAGTGGTTCAATTCCAGTCAATTGCTTGCAGAAATTATGGTAGGGCTTGAGCCGACTGACCTATAAAGAAAAATGAATAATAATAAATGTGAAACTTAGTTGCGCATACTCAATAGAAATATTTTCATATGCGCATTACAGACGATAAGATAAAAATAGATCAATTAAGAGCTATATTTAAATAAATAAATAAATAAATAATTAAATAAAGTGAAAAAATAAAAAAATAAAAAAATAAAATAATCAAATAAGTCAATTAAAAAGCTGCCTTGAAAAAGTACGTTTTGAGAGCTCTTTTAAAAGGTCTAAAGCTCTGAATGTTTGGGATCTCCGCCGGAAGACTGTTCCACAATTTCGGAGCCGCCAACTGAAATGCTCGGTCAGCAAGTGTAGGTAGGCACCGTGAGTTGGCTGGTACCACCAAATTCGCATTCCTGGACCTAAGATTATATCTTGACTGGGCAGCGACAGCAATAAGATCAACCAGATATTTAGGTGCTAGGGCCTGAGAGGCACTTGAATGTTAATAACACTATTTTAAATTCAATTTTGTATTCGACGGCCAAGCATTGAAGATCCTTTAAAACAGGAGTAAGGTGATAGATACAACGGGTGTTAGTTACAAGTTTGGCAGCAGCATTTTGAACTCGTTGAAGTTTATTAATGTGAATAGTAGGAAGGCCGTATAATAGACTGCTGCAGTAGTCCAGTATACTGGTAATAAACGCACGGACAAGGGATATAGCGGTTTGATGAGACAGATACTTTCTAATCTTACGTATATTGCAGATATAATAAAAAGACGAGCTGCAGATACTATTGACATGACTAAGCATATCTAGGTTAGAATCAAACCATGATCCGGAGTTTCTTATTTGTGGTAAAGAATTTATCCGAGATTCACTAACAATAAGGTGTGAGGTCTTTACTTTCTCGAGTCGCTGTCTTGTTCAAATGATAAATTCTGTTTTGTCAGGATGAAGTTTAAATTTACCCATCAGCATCCAGTTCCGTACATCACGAATATAGGATTGTATAGATGACACAGCAGCAGTTTCGTTAGCATAATAACCAGGACATTAACTACCCGCTAAGTACTAATAAGGTAGACCTGGGTTCGAAGCTGTATCCTAGCAACATGCAACGCATGCTCAATAAAGATCTTACTCGATTCATACAGAGTCTTTCTCCAGTACTCGACACACTTGACATTCCCCCCCAGGGGCGTAGCTAGGGGGGTCCTGGGGTGCCCGTGACCCCCCCCCCCCTTGGTAGGCCTTCTTTTGAGCAAACAACCTACAATATTCAGCTGGCAAAAATGCCATGACAATATCTTGGCCGTAAAAGCCATTGTTGTAAAGCCCACTTTTAAAATTTGTTTTTTTGTAAAGTATTTTCGGCAACGGTTCTTGTCTTTAGTTAATATGGGCCTTCATGCCGCGATAATACGACTGACAATCTGGTGAGTAGCCTCTGTAACCCCCCCCCTTTGAAAAATCCTGGCTACGCCCCTGCCCACCCAGAACAGTAGAGACACTAGAGAAGATTTCCCGGTTGGCCGGACTTTAATAAAGATATCCTTATACCTTTTAAAACATGAAGGCTTAGTCTCCCGTTTCTTCGTCATTTTCTTCCAGAAGATCTCTGCAATCAACGTTATAAACGCTGCAGTTATCCCACAGCCCATGACGACGTACACTCCCAACATACTGGGTAAATCGATCCGCTTTTGAGACAGCGCTGCCAAAAAGAAAAAAAGAAAGGAAGGGAGGAAGAGGATGGAAAGAAAAGAAATAAGGGTTTTTGATCAAAAGTGAAGTCAAGATGGTTGGACATTGGCCAAGCCCTTTTTATTTTGGATCGAGAGAAATTTGAGGTGACTAAAAACGAGAGGAAGAGCGAAGCCAATATCCATCCGTCTTGACCGAACAAAGGATTCATTATGTGGCCACGAGAACCTTTTAGTATGGAAATCATCAACCTGTACATTTTGCCGGCTCAAACAATTTGGAAAACTTGAGCCTGATTTGTAAAGCAGTAAGGGAAAGCAGTAAGGTTTACACAACAGATCGTTGGTTCTTGATGTGGTGTGATTTGAAGTGAGCAAAATAAATATATTACTCTGTTTTGTGGATGGGTTTCCTGGAAACTAGTCTTCCCAGTTGATTATGAGTAATTGATGATGACGTTCGAGAGTTTCCAAAGAAATAAAAACTCTGAAACTCTAAATTTAATCGCTAAGTTTCTTTACGCCGTTACATGACTTTGACACAGCAAGAAAAAGAGACACTATATCTTTCAGCAAAAACATTGTGTATACGATGATTGTCAACTGAGCTATAGGGTGTTTTCACATGACGTCACGGCGGCCATATTGGTGTCCCCAGACAATGAAACGGCGGCCATATTGGTGTCCCAAACCAGTCCTGTGGGAGTTGAACTCTTTTCTTATGCAAACGCTTTCTTTTGCTCCAGTAAATTTGCATAGTTTCTGGTCACGTGAGTGAAAACGCTCTATAGAGTCAATGTAAAACCTAGCCTGCTAACGTACAACCGTCTCTCCTCCTCGCTTCTTGCCGCGCTATGGACGTCTCTTGCTCAAAACATCCATAGCGGAGTAAGGAAGGAGAGGAGAGACAGCTGAATGATTACAAACTGATTACCAACGGCTATGTTTGATTGATTGGAGAGTTAAGGGCAGGGTTAAGGGCTCTTAAGGGTTTCGTCAAGAGACTATAAAGGGGACAGAGAGGGCATCCCCCATATACACCCTATTCCAAAGGTAATTCGTCTCGAGATATTTTTAACATCACAGATCTCAAGGGGGATTAGACAACAGCCAATCACATAGTGCGAATGTGTTCCGCGTGGATGACCCACGCTGAGAGCCACGCGTCCTTCACGAAATGACGCAGAACAAAATGGGGGAAGACGCGGAGAGCGATTTTGCTATTCCTTTTGTCGACGAAAACGACTACAGCGAGATTTCTGCGAAAGCTGTGTCAGCGAAACCGAAATTAAAAAAGAATCGCCCTTCCTCTCTTGTATAGAGCTAACAGTAGAGCAGGGAAATCCTTAACACACTGAATATTCTCTCAGGATCATTTATAATTTACAGTTTGAAGAGAGCAATTTCTGGTTTGATGTTTATTTTTTTCAGTCTTTATAGCGATTATTCCTACCCACTTACTTTGTCAATTGTAGGCGAACCCTCCTAAAGCTGAATTTCAAGGGACCATATTCAAGCTCAGAAAGAGAAATAAAATTTCGTCGTTGCTTATTTACGTCCTCCATAAAACGCGAAATTAGGCATTTTCACGTCGTAGTCGTGCAAAAACGGGAAAGAAATGAACAAAAAAGTGTGTTGCACGTGCGAAGTTGTTGTTTTGCTAATTAAACCTATTGTTTTTTTGACGTTCTAGTTGTCGTCCGCGTCGTTGGATCTTAAACTCCCTAAATTGTACAAACGACCGGTTTCAATAGACCGGCGAAATTTCTCATTTTATTAAAGCACTGAGGTTACGACAACTTCGAGTTAAACTGATTTCACGGGTTGTCAAAGAGTCCAGCGATTCCTTTTTCCCAGGTGAGCGCCGACTCATTTCGCTTCAATATTCAGGAATGCTCTCGATCTTTTTACGCTTTCTTTGCCTCTTGCCCGATATGTTTTGCACGGCGTTTGGTCATGCGAAACCTCCACGAAACATCCACGCCTCGCGCGAGGTAACTTTATCCCGATTCTAAAAATAACTCGAGACGAATTACCTATGGAATAGGGTGTATATGGGGGATGCCCTCTCTGTCCCCTTTATAGTCTCTTGGTTTCGTGGATAAACAAATTTATGTAATTTCTTGTGTAACTCACTTGTTTCCTGTTCTTTGGGACATTCAAACTGATTACCAATGGCTATGTTTGATTGATTGTAGAGTTTAGGGCTCTTAAGGGTTTCGTGAATAAACAAATTTATGCAATTTCTTGTGTAACTCACTTGTTTCCTGTTCTTTGGGACATTCATTGGCTTTGTCCCACCACTTTCGCTTCAAATTATCAAGGAAGTCATTTTCATGAAGACGCAAAATGGCCAGAGTAAAATCCATAGTATGTGGATCATAAGCTTGAAAACCGAGCGCCAGTCCCTTGGCTCTACTGAGACCTGGAACTGGATGGAAAATGAAGCTTATTTGTCATATTGTTGTGGAAATTCTCTCAACCATAGAATTCGGATCAAGCAATAATGACAGTTTGAGCGTATAACTAAGGGCGCTTTTAATTATTGTCGACCGGCTAGACCATTCCCGTCGTAATGAGAATTTCACCTTTAATCAAAACTATCCAGCCAGGTAAGTCAAATCATGAATAGCTAGTATATGCACGAAATGATGATTTTTCATCAAAAACTCTTGTTAAAAACTTATTTAATTTTCAAAAAGGACTAGTAAGGCCTTGGTCAGGTCGGCAGGTCTGAGGTTTGGAAAGCGCTCTGGAGATACCGCTCTTCAAATAAAGCACCAAAAAAAATCCCTGAATGCCTCTTTGCCCGGCTAGACTGGCTGTATCGGTCTAAGATGATCTTGCCCCACCTCTACTTACTTTGTAAAATTTCACTGTGTCTTTCTTAAGAGCATTAACCCGGTTAACGGAGGTGTTTTTTTTCGGCTTGTGATACCAATATTCTGGAGCTTTCCCAAATGAACATTTCATCTCAGTTTAAAGAGGCTATTTCAACCCTATCTGCCATCTTTTGAAAAAGCTAAACTGAGTGTGTTCGCATCAATTTAATTTCAAAAATAATGTTCCAGTTTTGTTTTTTAAGACCATATTTAGCCATTGAAACTGTTTTCTGTCGTCTGTTGCAGCGGATGGAAAGGATGGACATGGATTGGAACTTGAAAAAATTGACCCAACCTTTTCACTGAGTTTTAATACTACCGTATTTATTCGAATAAGCGCTCAACCTCGAATTGGCGCCCAACGTCAAATAAGTGCTCACCCTCAACCTCAAACCCCACCCCCTCCTCCTCCCAATCAAACTCAAATAAGCGCCCAACCCCTACCCCGCCCACCTGAGTGACAATGAGATTGACATTGAAATTGAATAAGTACTAATGAGAGAATTCCGCGAGGACGGAGTTTCCTTCAGAGTATTTTACAGAAACCTTGCTCTGTTACTTCTTCGCGTTTTATTATTAGCATTCATTGTTTTGTTACAGAATAAACATACTACACTTGCTGAAAATGGTGAAAATTTCGTAAACCCCCAGCCTCGAATAAGCGCCCACCTTGTCCTGTCATGCAAACCATCTTAATCCACCCGGTCTTTACATACCTGTCATTAGGTCGCATGGACGGTGGTTGGCAATATACTCAAGAATAGGTCCATCATTGATAAACACAAAGCTTGATCTTTCTCTCACTTGTTGGATTCCATCAGAAGTGTTCTGGACGAATGTTTGCTCTGCTTTCATTCGCTGCCAAATCTTTATGTGAGGTTCATATTGGGTGGTCGCGAACGACTGCTGTGTACTAGTAGATGCGATTACACCAACTTGATGGGAAGTTTGCGCAATGTCTTCCAGGCTTTTGATTGGGTGGGCTGCATTTTTGACAGTAAGAAAAGCCGCTAGGTTGGCGGTATATGTTGAGACCCAGACAAGGATGCAAAACCAGTAACATCCTGTAAGAATACGACCTGCAGAAAGATGGAAAATGAAATAAATCAAAAATAAAACGAAAAGTAATTGAAATGTTTGAACGTAGGCAATTATCTTACCCAGTATCCCGGGGAGGGGACTTCGCATATGAAAGGGGTAGGGATGCTCGTCGGAAATTTTGAATTAAATCCCCAAAGGAGACCGATTGGGCGTGGCCCAAGCTTTTTTTGACCCCTAAAAGAGACCATGTTAAAACACAGACAATAGATATATTTTTATATTTTTACGCGTGCAACCCTAAACGAGACCTTCACGGCTTAATATGATGGCTTTTTGCCCAGAACACCGTAAGTGAGACCAAAATCCGAAATTTACACCCCCAAGCGAGACGACGAGCATCCCCACCCCTTTCATATGCAGAGTCCCCCCGGGCCTAGTTTCCTAGGGCTTATTAGTCAGCGTGAAGTGACCAGAGGAGTCTCTGGGGACATGAAATTTGTACGCTAAAATTCTAAGAAAACCGAGTAAGGTAGTTACTTCTTAAAACTGACAGTGACAATTTTGTCCCTTTTATACATAGAGAAAAGTTGTCCCAAGTAGAAGGGTCACTCGCCAATCCGAGGTAACCCCGAGCGAGCCAACTTTTCCTACATTTCCTAGGTGAATCGTTTACACAAAAAACAAAAGTTGGCTCGCCTAAAAGGACGGGTCACCCTGTTTCGACGGTAGGGTCACCCTCAAGCCGGTCCAACTCTTCTCTATAAAAACACTGTAACACTGTTGACCCGGGCATAAGTGGCCAGGATGGGGGGGGAGTTAACATTTTTTCCCATATAAGGCTCGTTAAAGCTGAGTCGGCTGGGAGGGTGACCTCCTTTACAAAGACAGATTTTCTCCACATAGACGGAGCCTTTCTGACGCTTCGACCATGCAGACATTCATTTTTATTCAAAACTGAGTCGATTAAAAGTATATTTGCCTCTAAAAATTAGAGGGATTGAAAAGCTGAAAATTTGACGCATAAATCGAAGAAGTAGATTTTTTAAATTCTACCCCAAAAATGTGTTTTTTTTCTACCTGACAAACTTCTTGGTGTGTTATCACCACCTTGCTGCAGCATACAAGCTAATGCAAACCACACACTGTTGAAAAAACTGAATTCGTCCGAAGTGCCTTCACCATTTTCATTTTTGTATCCATAGGGACTGTAATAGTTTAATACAAATACGGCGACAGAGGTGATCACTAAGGTAGCTAGAGTACAAAACCAAACCAGATTTTCAAACGGAGTCATAAATTGTAACAAGTCTATGGCTTTGTTTCCAGACGAAGGCTTCTTCATGATCAAATCCTCTGTGTAGTACATGAACGGAACGCTAAAATCCATTATTTTTTCACGTTCTTCCGTTACAGCTATTGCTCCTGCTGCCATGTCTGCGTTCTATAGATAAAAATGAATGATTAATTAGCATTTGGTTCATGAGTCTGCCTGCGTATGTCGAGATATGAAGCATGCGCGAAGTTTGGAGAGCACACGAAAAAGGCGTTACCGTTACTCGAGGCGGGAAAAACTTTGCCAAGAATTATTAACACACGCCAAACCCCGAAGAGCGTACAAAAAAACAACAAACCTCATTTTCTTACTATCGGTTACCAAATTCTAACGTTTGCCATAAAATGTACGTTATAAAACACATGGTTAACGTCTCAGCATGTACTATTAAGTTATGGTTGCACGCCCCCTCCCCCGAGTGAAAATACTGTAACGCAGAAAAGCAATGGTTATACTGGTGGCCACTCCTAGCATCCACATTTTTAAAAAACATAACACGAAGGATCCTAAAGTCATGCTAATATTAATTGTGAGTTAAATATGATCTAATCCATACAGACCACATCCAAAATCTCACGGACCATCCCATCCCATGTCCCATTTTCCATTCTGGCGCCATATTTGCCGTCCGGGGAGGGGTAGAATTCGTACTTGAACTTGAGGATTTTTGCCAGTTCGTTAATCAGATCCACACAGTATCCTTCAAATTGAAAGGCCCCATCCTTGTTCTTCTTTGCCATCAAAAAGGGAGGTTCCTTGTAAAAATAAAAACAGGACAATTATCAACATATATCAACATATGTCAGTTATCAACTCGGATTTGGTCAAGCTTCAAGGAGAGTAAATGGTATGCGTCAAGAGAAAGCTTAAGCAAAGGCGTTTTGAGCAACGCACACCAATCCGAAGTGCGATCTTTTTCACTTTAAAACTCCTTGACGGTAACAAATTTGAATTTCTAAGTGTCTTTACTGTTATAGAGACGATTTTTCCACAACTTTGTGCAAAACCGTAGTCCAAAAAAAAAAAAAAAAAGAGACCACTTCCGGTTGACATTTATCGCTAAAAAACGTCTTAAGCTCACGATTAGGGAGTTTAAGCAAAGCGTTTCTGAGCGAAGCAGGTCAACCGGAAGTCCAATTTTTTGCACTCTTTGGGCAGTGGTTTTACCCAAATTTTCTAGAAATCGTCTCTGCAAGAGCAAAGACACTTTATAGCTATACAAATTCGGTAGCGTCGAGGAATGTTAAAAGGGAAATGGTCTCACTTCCAGTTGACGCGCGTGCGTCGCTCGAAAACGCCTCTGCTTAATGATAATACAAGTTTAAAGTAAATTGGTTCTTTTGTATTTTTTATTTTGCTGATCTAGGTAGTTATAACAAATAACGATTGCTTAAAAATGATGACGAGAGATCGCACAAATGAGAGTTTAAAGATCAAGTGTAAACCCTCATAATAGTGATGATAATTTAAGAAGAAAAGCTCATTGTATTGGAAGCATTTAAGCAACCGCGAAGAGAAAAGTTGTTAGGAAACAATTCAAAGTCTTTAATATTCTATAATCGTTTTTACCTCAACCGTGACAATCCGGAACGTCCTTCCTTCTAGTCTATTCCCATTTGAAGATGAATTCTCCACGGCATTAGCCGACATTTTATCAAAGAACACTAAACCGTTAGTTGTATTCCACGAACCTATCTAAAAAGGAATCAAATAAGTTTACATAAATTAACGAACCACTACCTTTTAGTTTTCTTTCACTTATAGCTTAACTATTGTGCTATTGCCTTAAAAATCATATATTGCCATCTATAAAAACCTAAGACACAGGCCGTCTTTGTACTTACTAGCTTTAGTGGTTTACTGGAAAGGTATTAGCCTCCGCGTGGCAATGCGGAAAGATTCGGTTTGCGATGTCAATACTCTAGTAATCAGAGAAGTAACAAGGCAAACATGTTCCTTTACGAATTGATCTTGATCATCGACACATCGACAAAGTCAATATTAATAAAAACTCAGTCTTTGAATTAAACGAAGTAAATGTGCTGAGCAAAACGGGATCACTTAGGTCCTTCTACACTACCTACTCGTTTAAAGGAGCCTTTGCGAATATCTGTTGTAGTCGATACCCAGTCGAGAGTCTGTCTTTCGTTTTCAAAAAACTCAGTCTCAGACTCAGTCTGAGCTGAAAAAAAAATAGGATTATTCATACCCTTTATACTACTTACCCTTTTGAAGGTGTCGTTGCGGAGGTTAAGGATGTCCAGTCGCGAGACTATTCGCCTTCCGTTTTCGTCAAACTGGACAGGGCCAGTTATGCCAGCGATATCAACCTTAAACAAAGAAGAAAAACAATGGTTATGGTTAAATTTGCATGAAAAAGTTGGCATCTCTCTGAAGAGGGTGCTTGTCAGAACTTTATTTTCTGGAACTGAAAACGACTTCTCCGACGCGGATGCTGTACAAATTTTCGGTGACAAATTGCTTCTAAAGTCAAAATAGGAAACTTTATTCTAATCAACAAAACAAACAATGAACCTAACAATTAGTCCATCGATCGTTCAATGGATCGATCGATTGATCGATCGATCAATCAATCAATCACTCAATCACTCAATCAATCAATCAATCAATTAATCAATCAGTCTATCAGTAAATCAACTAATCAATCGATTAAAGGCCGGGTTGCTAGGTTTCCCCTTGACTAGAAGGAATGATCTTCCAGTAGGGACATGAGCGGCCTTTTTTCATGGCAGGAAAAAAAATTCAGATGTTTAAACCAGCTTTAACCATGCAGCTTTAAACGGCTTTTACAAGGTGGCATATTCTAGGTTCTCCTGTTTTTTTCCCCTAGATTGTCACTTATCCTTGCTTTTAGGCTACCTGAACATTGGGAAAATGGGTCCTCAAGTAAAGTTGAAAATTCAGTCGATCCTTGACGAGAAAAATTAAGCTACTCAAGGAGTGAAAATTGAGAATGAGCCATGGATTTATTTTTAAGAACTTCAAAATTAATCAAGATATATGAAGTCAGTACCTTTGTCATGCAGTTAAATATAAGATCTTTATCCCTTTGATTGTTACTAGACTTGGTTAGCGATAAACACGGCGTTTTGTTTAGTGCTTGGTAAATGACCTGGACCGCATCATATGCCTGAACAGCAGTAAGATCCTACAGAAGGAGATTTTACATTTTAAAATGTTAATAACTGCTCAATTACTCGCTATATTTCTACTAACAATAATCGTGCATTCATTTTTGATATTAGTGCTTTTTTGTGCCAACAGCCACACTCAGAATCTGAGACGCTCGACCCACTTAAATTACAGTTATACTGCATCGCATTAATACCCAAAGCGGACGATTTTATTACAGCCAAAATTTCTTAGATGCATAGGTAACCAAATTTTATTACCCATGGTGCTATCCTACACCCGCTTTAATTCTCGCGCAAGAGCTCCGCTATCGAAAGAGCTATTACTTGGCAGTTTTAGACAGAAATTAGTCTGAGGTACAACAAGTAAGGACAAGCAGGTTAACTTGGCCTTTTACGCAGACGCCCGTAAAGCTTTGGCGTCCCGTATGTGCAGCTTACCTCGTTGAAGTTCTCGAGATTTATGCCGGGAATTGCATCAGGTATGTATGGAAGCTTAAAAGCTAGAACGACATTGTTTGGAAAACTGGCTAGCTTGAAGGATACCTAAGTAAAAAGTAAAAAGGTATTCAGATATATTTTTTTTATTATGTATCGTAAAACCTTAATTGCTCACAACCATTCGTTATTACTTTCCGATGCTATCGAGGAACTAACACTTTGTAATAGCAAGGTATCAGACGTTGTTTCCCACATGACAGAATACTTTTTTTTGTGGGTTTCATAATCCGTGTGGGAGAAAGACCAAAGAAGGTGACGCCACTGATTATTATCCTGATAGCGCAAGTAATGCGATGCGGGGTATCTCATCAACCAGTGGAAAGAAATTAAAATATAGCATTTCGGTGGCTCGAGAGATTTCTCAATCACACCTTGCAGAGATCGATAAGCCTGTGTCGCAGACAGTTTGGATCCCCGATATCGAGTTCTCCTTCTGGGTCTCGAGTGACAATTCCGGCGACAATGCAGGTTATGATTGGTGAAAGCCCCTTGGATGGTTTCTTCATCTAGATATTAATGCTACCATACTTTTTCAGTTGTGTTTGGAGCCCTAGCAATATAGTCGAAGTATACCGAGGAGTTCACTGGTTGAAAGCTTTGGAAGACTCGTGTAAAACGAAGTGCTCTTGCTAGTGGCAATATCCTCATTGTTTGACGATGATTGAAAAGAGTAGCCTGAATTTCAGATATTTCTTCGAGTTGGTTACTCCCTCAGTAACGTCCTGAAAAAAGTTGATCAGAAAGTAATACTTGGTGTAATGTCACAGTAAATACAAACCTCTTCTTGAAGTATCCATTTGTAGTATTTCTTCAGATCACAGGGTACCTATAAATAGAGAATAAAACACCAAGCTATTTCCACTTTTCTTATCTTAAGTAACGAAAATAGCTAGGAACCACTGAACTTTACGAAATGAGATATGATATAGCCCTCTTTTGAATAGATCATAAATACTGTAAAAGTCTTAATGTTATAAAGGTTAATTGTATGAGGTTCTTTTTGGTGTGGGGGGGGGGGGGGGGGGGGTGTGGGGGGGGGTTTGGTGGGGGGAATTTCATCGTTTTTGACGAATTTAAACTAAAAAAAAAATATAAGAAAATCAAAATACTAAAAAAAATTTTGTTAGATCTCCTCTTTTTTAAAAAAAAAAAAAAATTTTATATCTTTTTTTTTTTAAAAATGTTAAAGTTGTGGTTGTTTGTGGGGGGGGGGGGGGGGGGGGGGGGGGAGCTGGGTGGGTGTTAGGCGGAGGAACCTAAAACCTTTTTACACATCGTCAACCCATTCTTAACCTCGACAAGTCGCGCATAATTTTTTAGCAACTAGCTTTTACCCCTTTTTTCGGCAATAGTATAGTAGACATTTTTGAGGCCCTATTTTGCTTGGGAATCTCAATAACTTATCTCCATAACTTGCGGGGAATAAATTAACGTCGATGACGTCATATCCTTTTGTCTTTATCACATGAATAAAATGAGGGGAATCTCAGTAAATTAAGGTCATGTGTTATATATTAATACGGGGTTTAACCGGTTTGGCAGGTTTCCTAGTAACGGATTAAATCCTCATACGGCGGATTTTAGGCGAATGAGAATAGACAAAGTTTTTTATCTTACCTGTTGCAACAGTAGTTGGGCTATTTCTTTGCTCGTGTAAAGCAGAATAACTTCAGGACCAAATTCTGTTATTTCCTTAGTGGCTTTCAAAACTGCCTTTCTCTGTTCTTCACTTGTCCTTCCGTTTGCGAGCTGGACTAAATTCATGGCCAAGTTGGAATTCTGGAAAGCTACGTAGAAGTAACCAGCATCAAGTAACCGATTCTCTGTCGAAGTGACAGACATGAGTGTCATACATAAGGTGAAGATAAAGCCGTTCAATGTTTCATCCATGGAATAGGCGGTTTTGCGGAAAAGCCTTAGCATAAATGGAGTTCTAATTATAGCTGCAAAGGAATAATCTTATTAACAATTACATCACACTTTATTAGAAATTTGCGTTGTTAGGAAGTAATTCTGAATAATACTTAGGTTCCGTTTATATGGAGTAAATGTGTTCTGGGTAGAAGGGTCACCCTAGCTCACAGCTGTGTCAACTTTAGCGCGCTTTTAATTTATATGACAAAAATGTTGTCCCCTTTGCCCGCAACAGCGCTAGCGCACGCTTTGCACGTGATCTGATTGTCTAAAACAGCGCGATTGTCCTACCTTGACCTTATTGACCAGGGTGGGAGAGCCATAGTGTTTATATGGAGAAAATTTGACCTGGCTAGGAAGGTGACCCACTAGTACCATCACTAAAGGCTGACCAGGCTAGGCGGGTCACTCTTCTAGCCAAGCCAATTTTTTTGTTTCTTATTTAATCGGTTCGCCACCGGTTTTGTAAGGAAACGTATGAAAAATTGTCCCGACCAGGGTAACTCGAGTAGGAGCGCGCCCTGCACGAAAAATTTGATTTACACCAAATTTACCGAGTGCAAATATGGTGTAAGAAGTGTTAACCTACGTTAATTCAAGGGCAAAGATGTACGCATTGGCCCACGAATTTTCAACCCTATGTAAACCAGAATGTAAACGCGGTATTTACCATCTTTGCCTTTGATTTTGTCCTAGTTTGCACTTTTTTGCACCTTATTTGCCCGAGCAAATTTGTGTAAATCCAATTTTTCGTGCGGTGGTGACCTTTCCATTCAGGACAACTTTGCTCTAAATAAATGGGGCCTAAGACACTCTTAATTACCATCAAACACTAATGAAATCTTCCTCCAGTGAAAGCTGGTTAGAACGTCAAACGTGGCATGCGCAATGTATGTGGAGTCCACTGACATATCCACTGTTTTGTCGCACTGATTAAATGGTATAAGTCTTTCATGGAGACGAACGAGAGGGATGCCAGTAACTGTAGACAGTGAGCATGCGTGCGACTCCGATTGACTTCCGCCAATCAGTACCGTAATATTTTGCTGCTGGAACACACTAGTAGCTGAAAATAAAGTTGATGATGATTCAAACAAAATATGAAAGATCGAACCGATTTTAAATGAAATCAAAGTGGCAGCGAACCACTAAAGATAGGAATAAAATTTTTTGCACATCCTTATTTTGGGTAAAAGAAATTATGATTTTTCTTAACCAGAGTCTATTCTTATATAACCTCGAGAATTCGCGTACAATTCATCGGCTTTGGAGTAAAAATTTATGTACTTTTTTCGGTGGCCTTGTATTTCTTCGAAAGAACGGGCTGTATGTTAAGTGATAGAGGACTTTGCTGCGTGAGCACGTCATGATTTTCCACCATGTTAGATGTCTATTATTTGCGCGTGTTTCATGGTCTAGCCATCAGCGTCGACCAAAACAAATCTTTAGACTAGCAAATGGCCGTAAGGCACTTAAACATTAACCTCCGCCCCCTGCAAAGACAGCTGCTGTATGTAATTGCTAAAGCTAAAGGTAAAACGTGCTCTTTTACATGATAGCGGTAGCTGCAAATACAGTAGTGTTTAAATGATTAAGAGCGCTTACCATTTGTCAGAACTGGCTGGCCAAAATGGTTCAATAGTTATGAAAATTCCAATATTACGGAAAATGCAGCCAAATTAGTCTTTCCCTAAAACATATTTTGTAAAATTTCGTTTTTAAAAATTACAAGTCCTGCAGGCCAGTCCTCTGATTTTTGGAAAGCGCCCTAACAAATGTAAGGCCGACTGTGTGCTAATTTTAACACCTGTCTCTTCATCAGTACTCCGTTTTCATGACGGGTATCTAAAAGGTACTTAAAGGGGCTGTATCATGGTTCTAGTTCATTTTGTTAATATTGAGAATTACTCTAACTTACACGCTTAAAGAAGAAATTACTTGTTAACGACAAAACCACAGCTTCAAGTCCAACAAATATACCTCCCAAGCGTTATATCAAATGTTACAACAACAAAAATGAACTTTAAAAAAACCTATTAGGCTAACAAGTTTTCAAAACCCCATAATTTCAATCCTTTTTAATACTCTTCAAGTTTGTCCATCCGCACCTAATTTTGTATTTGCTTTGTTACTAATATCTTCTTTTAATTTTTGAGCATTACTTTTACGTTTCCCTCAGTTTGTTGGCGGTTCATACTGTTAGAATCTTGATAAAATTGGTAACAGAGCTTCTTTAAAGCTAATGTTATCTCTACGTTCAATGGCAAAGTTAACCTTGATAACTTACCTTGGTTAAAAAGGCTTTTCTCTGAAGAGACGTGAAAAATGATTAATGCTATGGAAACGTTGCTGGTGGCGCTTGTGTGGTTGACAGCAGATTTGATTGCGTCGTATTCATTTTTACTTCCATCGTAAATAAAACCTGCGTTATGTTGAAGAAAATATTATATTACAACTCGTTTTTGTTTTTTCCACGTTATTTAATCTGGAGGAGAGGGCACAACGAGCCGAGTTAACTTTGATTAATTATAACTTAAAAAGGTGAGAGGAAAACTTCCAAATTTTCTTAAAGATAAAATGCTTTATTTTTGCTTACTTCATCGTTATCTGCAACTGCGGAATTAAAAATGAACATGGTTGCCTCGAAATTTCAATATGGTGGGTTTACGAGGTTATGTGACGTCACATTTCTTCTCGTCCAGAGCAATGTATTGCTAACGTAAAATTCTTAGCAACAACAGCGAACATTTGTGCATTTGTCATAAAATTAATAAAAGTATCAATGAATTTGGTTTTACAGAGGGTAGCAAAAACATGTAAAAAAAGTGAACATGCAAATTTTAAATAAACGCCGCAATTATGACGTCATACATGTCGTAAGTTAATTTTTGATCAGTGCCACACTGTTAGCTGAATGATTTGATATAATACTGCTGAGTTTTCTATCATCAGCGATTCAGAGTGACACCTTTCGATTATTATTGGTTGGGGAGGGGGCTATTGAACACCTTGGAGCTCCCCCCTGGCTCAGGGACGAATAAAAAGCCCAGGCTAAATGGGATAAACCGCTCGTTCAATTTAATGAATTCCGTAATATAAATAAACGAACTTAACTTTAGAAATTTGAAAATATCGACAAACTTATAATTAAAATAAATGATTAAGGGGTTTTCGATCTTTCCAGGGTGGATTACGCACATGCATATTTTGGACAGGTTTGCCTCCCGTCATACAAACGTTGTAAATTAAAATTTCACCACTTTCCGGAGCCAACTCTTGGCCCTTAGATTTGACAGCCTTACTTATGTTAAGGCGCTCGTCCGAGATGTATCAGTACATCTTTGCTAATTGGTCAAAATTTACTGAAAAAACGAAAAAAGAAACCATGGGAGAGTCTAATTTCACCACACCGCAAGCACTAAGTCAATTGCTAGTAAGGATAAATGAAAAGACATGAAAAGTCAATAAGGAAGTGCCTCCTCCAGAGGCTTTCCCAAGGCTAAGTGGGTATTGGGGAACTCGCGAGCACGCGAGACAAGCCGAGAGAGACAAGCGAGATGCGCGAGAGAAGGGTGATGGGAACAAGCGGAGAGAGCGAGCGGGGATCGCGAGCGGCTGGGGAAATAAAATAATAATCATCTTTATTGAGGAAACTTTTTCATAAAAGATATGGTTTTCAAAAAGGACCTCAAAACTAGATATATATTATAAAAACCAAAAAAGCTATAAAATTACCATGGGATTAAAAAGATACAAAAAATGCATAAAAAATTAAAAATAAGTATAAGTAAAAATTAAACGTAAGTAGCTATATTAAAAACTTAAAAACATTACGTTTAAAACTATTTAAATTCCTTGAGTCTTTGATCGTCTGACTGAGGGAGTTAAAATCGGAAACGGCATGATATTGTGTTCTTTGCTTCCCCCAATTTCTTTTGACACGTGGTAATCTAAAATTGCCTTTGTTACGTGTATTATGCCTATGAAGTACGTCTTGTCTAATCAAGTCCATATCGTGATTAATTAGGCCATTGATGCATTTGTATACGTGTACACACCTTCTTTGAAATCGCCCTTTCTCTAGAGGCAGCCACTTGAGAACGGCTAATGCCTCAGTGGAGGATGAGTACAATGGTCTATTTAAAATAACTTTAGCGGCCTTATTTTGCAAAACTTGCAAACTAGACATAAGGGTAATATAATGTTTATCGCCCCATACTAGATCAGCATATTCAAAAAGGGGCATAACAAGACTTTTATAGAAAAGTAGACGCGCCCTGAAAGGCAATAAATGCTTTATACGCTTGAGAAGCCCAAGCCTCTGATTGATTTTCCCAGTTAGGTGTTCAATATGATCAGTCCATTTGAAGTCCGAAGATATATGTATACTGAGGTATTTAAAGCTGCGAACATTACTTGTACTACGATCTAAAATTGAAACAGTCAAATCTACTTTGCTTTCGCGTTTCCTATTACTACCGATAAGCATGCATTTAGTTTTGTCCAAATTTAAAGTCAGTTTGTGGTCATGAGCCATTTCGCCACACCCAGTAGATCGTTATTTAACTTATCACTCAACTCCTTTGAGGATGTACCATAGCAATAAATTACAGTGTCGTCTGCATAAAGTGACGCGTAGCAGGAGTTAAGCACATTTGGCAAGTTATTTATGTAAATCACAAACAACAGAGGCCCTAGGATGCTACCCTGTGGCACCCCATACTCGACTGGAAGTTCCTCAGATAACTCATTTCCACATGATGTGCGCCGTTGTCTACCAGTTAAGTAAGAACGGAACCAATGAAGAGCTGTTTCAGAAAGGCCGATCTCGGATAGCTTGCATAACATTATTTGATGGTCTACCGTGTCAAATGCCTTGGTTAGATCGATGAACACGGCCCCGCAAAGCTTTCCTTGTTCCATGTTTAAGAGCACTTCATCAGCAAATGAGGTCAAAGCTGTTGTAGTTGAGAAACCCTTCCGGAAACCAAACTGCTTGTTGGACAATAAATTATTGGTAATCAAGTACTTATTCAACTGCAAGTGTACCGCTCTCTCCAAAATCTTGCTTAGTGTAGGGAGGATTGAGATGGGGCGGTAGTTGGAAACGTTGGTCCTGTCACCTGACTTAAACAATGCTGTGATTTTCGCGCATTTCCACAATTTGGGAAATTGACTAGTGCGAATTGAAAGATTCAAAAGTTTAACAACAGATGGTGCAATTGTGTGAGCTGAGATTTTAAGAAGTCTCGCGCTAATTTTGTCAAGACCAATCGCTTTGTTTGCTTTCAATGACAAAAGCTGCTCAAGCACAAATGATTGATCCAATTCAGTCAACTCGAACTGGAAAAGCGGGTGTTTTGAAATGGAATTTAAATTCAAGACGGAAACCTGTATTCTACTTGCTAGAATTCGGCCAATGGAAGCAAACAAGCTATTCATTGAAGAAGCAATGGATTGGGATGTTATATGCTGAACATAGAGTTAATACACTGAATACTTTCTGAAGATGAGTTCCGATTGCATGCTTCGTTTACTGCTTTCCACACCTTATCTGAGTCACCCTTGGCTTCCTCGATCATGTCATAGTAATATTTAGACTTGGCAGTTCGTACTAAGCCATTAACCTTGTTCCTAAGCTTTTCATACATTGACCAATGACGCGCCGAGTTCGATTTTCGCGCCTTTCTATGCGCCCAGTCACGTTCTTTCATAGAATCACTTATCTGACTGTTCATCCATGGAAGAGGTGTTCCCTTGACACGCCTTCTTTTTACTGGTACGTGTTGATCAGCAACCTCCGAAAACATTTTATTCCACGTAAACAAGGCATCGTCGACGCTGTCCTCGTTTTCGACAATATGCCAGGGAATATTCCTAAGATCATCATTAAATAAAGTCGGATTAAAATTCTTATAGGAGCGATACTCGAGTATTCTCGGTTTAGCCTTTGTTGTAATACCAGCTTTAATTATGCAAAATACCAGAAAATGGTCGCTAAGCAGTACAGGAACAACACCAGATTTGACAATGCGGTGTTCATTATTAGCAAAAACCAAGTCGATCATTGTCCGCGAGGTGTCAGTTATGCGCGTCGGTTCTTTTATTAACT